CCTCCTCAGAGGGAGAATCATTTGGGATCCTACCAGCAATGGGGAGAAATAGTTTCTGCATGGGCCTAAAGTGCCCCTTTTTGGTTATGAAGCACATTTCCCTGCTGAAGACATATTTAGCCCTCTGTTAGGCATGGCAAAGTATCAGTTCTTTAATACAATGGTAGGGTCTTTGGTCTACCTGTTTTGCCAAAGAGTAGAAATACATAAAAGAAGATAAAACTTAGTGAGAGCTGAAGAAGTATGGACAGCTAGGTTTTAAACAACTCCAGTCATCTTCCAATGGAAAAAAAAGAGCTGAAATGATAACTGGACATCAGTAAGGTGCAGCACTGGGCTACCTAAAAATATCTGTTTAACCATTGGGGTATTTGAGTTTATGTAAAGGTAAAGCTAGAAGTGACTTTGGGGAAAAAGAATGCAGTTCTAAAATGAAGGTGACCTGCTGAACACAGGTTTTAAGTAGTAAACATTTAAACCTTTCTGGTACACATAAGAGGCAGAACGACATATTGGTCAAGAACACAGTTCAAAGAAAGATTGCTTGAGCTTGAGTCCAGTTTCTGTCTCTCAGAAACTGTCATTTGAGCAAAACATTTAAATTCTATGTGTCTGTTTTACTCATTTATACAGTTGTGGAATAATACAGCTGTAATAAATAATAAATTATAGCTAATATTGGTAATAACATTGGTACAGAAAACTGCTCCTACTTCTTCACATAACAAGTCCAATGTACCTGTGTATAATTCAGAAAAGTTGATGAAAAGAACAAATTACAGTCAATTGAATATGATACATCCTGATGAACATTCTTAGTATAACTTTTTAAGTGCCTTCACTATCATCAGTTTAAGTTATTTAAATAGAACTCTATTAGACTTTTGGTATGAAGAACTTATCTTTAATGGAAACTATCTGTTTCATCCTAAGTATGAAACCCAGTGACCCTGGCTTGAGTATTTCTCCCAGAAGCTTCTACTGTGTGCTGAGCACCGAATAAAGATGTAGATTGTTGAAAAATTTATTTGAAATATCATAGATTGGAAGCATAACTATGAGTAGAAGCGGGCCATGAAGAATACAAGCTCAACTTTCCCCTTGAACTTATATTAGTTTACCTCAGAAACATGTTGAGTTCTCTGAACTGTAGGTAAGTAACTTGCTCTCAGCAGCTTTAAATCTTCTATGGGGAGCAATCTGTTGCTGTGCCTTGTGCCCTTAGCACTATGCTCCCTGGCTTGGAACTGCAAATGTTACCCTGCCACTTCAGGGTGAGGAGGATCTGAAGTATGACACGCCTAGGCTAAAGTCTCTGGGGAAAAATACCCCATGGACGAGGGAAGAAATTACAAGTAAGCTGCAATGCCTTCATTAAGGGAAAACAGACTGAGAGGTACCAGAGGAAAAAAAATCACTTATTCATTCATTCAAACCGCATTTGACTACTTTTTATTTATTTATGCTACATGTAATTACCAAGCCCCTGCCTCATGGATGTGATGTTCTTGGCACTGGAACTGTGCTGGTGAACACTGTGGACCTGCTTTGCTCCTGGAGTTGAGTCTGTTTATAATGCACATTATATATAATAGGTACACAGGAGAAAGAGAGCCAGCTCTTTTCATAAGGTACACTGAATGAAGAGACAGAAGGGAAGATGGCAACAAAACTTGACCTGCTTGGGGTGTAGCAATACTGTGATCTCTGAAAGTAAGAGAGGGTTTCCTGGGGAAAATATCTTTCAAATCATTGGTCATTCAAGTAGAAGGCAGCTTTTACCAAGGCACATGGAGGAGAGAAGAAACTGTCAATGGCTCTGCATGGCTGCATATCCAAATGGTGATTCTAGAGTGACAGAATCTAGGTAGAGAGAAGATAATGACGGTGATCTTGGGACGCATGTTACAGAGTTTTATACTTTATTCTAGGACACTCACAAGGTAATAATGGAGGTTGAGTAAGGAGTATCATCAGCAAATTTCAGTTGTTAATACAAAGAATAAATTGGAATCCAGGGAATCAGTTGGCAGCCAGGGCCCCAGGAGGGAGGCAGTTTCAGGACTACACAGATGTAGTCTCAACAAAAACAGTGATCATGTGGCTGGAAGCAAGTGGATGGATTTGAGAAATGTTAAGGAAGTGATTGTTGGTAGTGGGTGGCGAAGGAGGGGGTGGAATAATAGTTGACTCCTGGGTTCCCAGTGTGGGAAACTGCAAGGAAGATGACATCATTCATGAGAGATGGAGATGGAGGAACAAATTCAGGATGAGGAGCTATGATTAGTTCAGTTTTGCTGTGTTCGTGGGACACTTATTCAGTAGACAATTGAATGTGGAGCCTGGAGATCTAGGCTGAAGTTATTAGCATATAGGTGGCCAAACTGTGGGAGTGGAATCCTGGAAAGCACTGGCATTGAAGTGGTCAGCACAGAAAGAGAGGAATGAGTAGGCACAGAAAGAAATCAGGGTATATGGAGTCACAGAATGAATAGAAGAAAGGAAGAGAATGGTCCAAGGAGAATGACTTAGTTAATGTCAAGTATTGATAGAGTTCACCTACATTGAGCACATGGTGATTTATCTATTAGATACAGCAATGAAAATGTCACTCACTGCTGAGGTGACCATCTGTCTGGATTTTCTTGGAACTGTCCCAGTTCAAACTTGATCCAACATCATTATTATTAGTGCCTGTTAGTGCCTACGTTTGGATAAGAAATTGCACCGTTGTCATTGGTGAGAGCAGTTTCAGCCTGTCTTAGTTACTTTTCTTGCTGCTGAGACAAAAACCAACACACACAAGTTAAGAGAGGAAAGGTTTATTTAGCTCATCATTTACAGATGATTCAGTCCATAATTGACTGGCTCTAAGGCTCAGTGGCACGACAGACAGGCATCACAGAGGAAAAACAGTTCATGGCAGGCAGAAGGTAAGCAAAACAACAAGATAGGGGGTGAGACAAGCTTCTTTCTGCTCCTTATATTGTACCCAGGCTACTGGGATTAGGGCAGTGCTAAACCAATCAGTGGACTGATTTATTTTTCACCCACTCTTAATCCTAGCACTAGACCATGAATGAATCATAGAGTAGATTCAGCCACCTCTGGAAAAGTTCCATCTATGACTGCATGAGGCTTTGGGGGACATCTAGACTCAAGCCATAACACAGCCCATGTCAAAGATTGCAGTGAATACAGAGATGAACTGGAGGAGGGAGGCACCAGATGAGGCAGCTTTTTGAAACTGTGGGGAAGCTATTAGAGATGGAATTTCAGTATTGGCTGGATACAGAACAAGATAGACTTTGAAGTTTTGTCCAATCCTGGGCATACTTCATAACTCTGTGTTTCTATACTATATGGATCTTTAACAGTCAGTGTGAAGCAAAGCTCTGTTCTGTTTCTTGTGTCACACATGCAGTTATTACATTACAAAACAAATATTTTATAAATAAATTTATTTTTATTATCCATTTCTTGAAAATGAATAATAGTTACTCAAGGTGATCTTCATCTGTCTCATACAAAATAGAAATGTATGGTCTTAAGCAGGAAGACTCATTTTTTTACTTTAATTATTTTGTATAATGAAGCATCAATAATAATAATTAGGTTGAGGATAAAAAGTCTGCCTCTAGACAAGCTAGGAAAAAAAAATACATGCTCCAAGTTTATTTATACCTAATGTGTCTTTTTGTGTTTGTGTGCTAAGAATTGAACTTAGGGCCCTGAACATGCTAGGCAAGCTCTCTGAACTATAACCCTCCACCATTAAAAAATTTTTTATTTTATGACAGGATTTCACTACAGTTTCCAGGCTAGGCTTGAATTTCTGATCCTTCAGCCTCAGTTTCTTAGTAGCTGGGAATATAGGTGTGCACCACCATACACAGCTACTAAGTCTTTTCACTTTTGAAACTTGCAGAACAGGACCAAGCAGATGTTTATGAGAGCTTAGCATTTATATTTAAAATGAGCAAAATGTAAATAATACATGTTTCTCTCTATACTATTTAGGTGGAGAAGTTATTGGGAATATATCTGAAAGAGTTAGATCACTCAGCTATTATCATAAATAAAACAATGTCTCAGGAGAACAGAAAAGTGATATAAAATGGAAATGATTCTTTGATCCTATATGGCTATTGGGTTAAGTAGAAAGCCAATCAAGAGCTTCGAGTTCTTTTTCCCTGCCTTGCAGAAAGGTGGTAAATGCAAATGATAAAGAATTTGATAACTGTTCAAATGTGGGCCTCCTTTGTCATTGCTTACTGAATTTGATTATCAAAGGTACAGCTTCCAGCCCCAAGCCCATCTCCCCAACCTCCATGATTGTAGTCCTCTTTTGAGTAATTAGGCACCTATAGGATTAGGGTGACTTTTAACAGCACCCCCCCCACTTTGGGACGGGGGATGGAACTAAGGCCATTGTGCTTGCGAGGCAGGTGGCAGAACCACTGAGCTAAATCTCAGGCCTTTAACAGTCCCTTTTTTATTGTTAAGACAAGCAAATAAATGCCTTTAAAAAGGCAGGCAGAAGGGATGTTTCTGTGACAGATACTTCTGTTTGAGAAAGGAGGCTAATGGGAACCAATAAATTGTACAGCAGCTATAATTTTTCTGCCACATCTAGACCTGTGAATAGCCCCATAAAGTACTGTATAACACAGAAGGATCTCTCTGTTCTTGTACTCTTGGTGAGGGTTATTAATAAAATAGTACTCTACTGCTAATCTGACCCCACACCGTTATGTAAACTAGTCAATATAACTAAGAGGATCCCAAACATATTTCACATACTTGCATATTTAACATTGAAGTTGTCAAAGACCAAAAACACCACATTTAGAAGATTACTTGCCATTTATCCTTTAAATCCCTACTAATCAGGCTTACAGCCCACTGTACCTGTTTTTCTATATAGGCTCTAATTGATTTGTCCAGATTTTCTTTGTATCATCTCTGTTTTGTTTCTCTTGTGTGCATTTGTTTTTCAGTGAGCAATGGCCTCGATTTTGCTTGTGTTTGGAATGGTCACCACCACATAGGGCCTGAATGTCCTACTGCTCTCCAGAAATAGAAAGAAGACCCCATATTTGTCTGTTTTGGTGGAAGTCTGGTAGTAGGAAAACTGTTGCATGGGCCACGATTTCAGCACAGTATCAGGTGAATGGGACCAGCCTTTCTTCCAAAGCATCAGAAATTGAGCACTTGGAAAGGAGATTTGGCCAAGATGACCCATTTGCAGGCGGGACTCAGTCCAGATACTATAGAGAAAGCACGCCTGGAACTGAATGAAAACCCCGATGTTTTACATCAGGATATTCAGCAAGTCAGGGACATGATCATCACCAGGCCTGACATTGGATTTTTACGTACAGATGATGCTTTCATCCTGAGATTTCTCCGAGCCAGGAAGTTTCATCAAGCGGATGCATTTAGACTCCTGGCCCAGTACTTCCAGTACCGTCAGCTAAATCTGGACATGTTCAAAAACTTCAAGGCGGATGATCCTGGCATTAAGAGGGCTTTGATTGATGGGTTCCCTGGAGTGCTGGAAAACCGTGACCATTATGGCAGGAAGATTCTTCTGCTGTTTGCTGCCAATTGGGATCAGAGTAGGTAAATGTAGATAGTGTCTTTATTTGGTTTTTCTTTTCCATGGCATCATCATTGTATGTGTGGGGTTGTATGGCTTTACAGGTAATGAGCTTGCATTTAAAATACATACTCCACATAACCACCAAGGAGGTTTTAAGGCCACAGGTATTGTCACCAAAAGGTAAGTCTAGTTGCTCAGGGATTTTTGAAACAATCGAACCATGGTATTAAAATTGTAAGAGACCTTAGAAATCAGGATTTTGTCCAATTAACTTGGTCATTCATTTTTAATAGAATTGAAAGTTGATCTTCTAGAAGATCCATATATTCTACCTTTTGTGTACTCATCTTTAATGACAACAACAAAAACCAGATTGAGGCGATGACCTTAAATCAAGTGTTTTCAACACATAAAGTCATCTCTTAAATCCTCCTCATGACTGTTTCTCCTGAGTGACAGATCTTTCTATCCAAACACCTGTTAGACATTTCTCCTTAAAAGTCCTATAAAGAGATAGAAATTCCACAAGCCCCAGACTTAAAGCATCATCTTCTCTCTCTACACCTGCTCTTCTATCACTTAGTCCCTCAAGCCAGAATCTGAGAGTCCTCAATTTCTCCTTGCTTTGGTCTTCACATCTAATTAATTTCCAAATCTTATCCCTTTCTCCTTAGAAATTCCTCGTCTCTTCTTTGCTTCTGTCACCCTTGCCCCAGTTTAGGTTCTCATTTCTCACCTATGTAACTGTGACAATCTGCTAAGTGGCATCTGCCTCTGGTCTCTTCTGAGCCATTGTGGTCTGTACTATGGTCAGGTTGACTCTTCCAAAGCCCTATTACTTCACTCCTCTGATTAAGGTTCTTCAGTGAGCTGTGTTGTCTTCAAAGTAAGCAATTTGCCTTCTGTACTTTCTGCTTTGCTTCAACCACTGTCTTCTATTCTTTGGTCTAGCAGGTTAAAAGTTTATGCTTTGCCTCAAATAGCTGAGGCAGCTCCTGCTATTCTCCAACCCTTTGGACTCTCTCCCAGACTCTAAGGGAGAGACCAATCATCTCTTATCAATCTGCCTCCTGATTCATACCAGTTTTATAGTTTTCCAGAAAAATAGCCTTCATCTACTCCACCACAACCCTGTGTTAATTAGGTCTCTTTTCTCTGTTCATATTTTATTAAAGTTCTATAAGAGGAGTATATGAATAATTCTTAACATAGATAATATTTTTGAATTCCTAGCACAGACTTTGGTAAGTATTTATATCATCTAATTCACTATAAAACTTGGTATGATAGATACAACTATAACCTCTATTTTATATTTGATAACACAGGTTTTGAGATCACAAAGGACTCATGTAGTGTCACACAGGTGGTGAAACAGAGTGGGAGTTGAGCCCTGGGAGCCTGACTTGAGAACCAGTTGCTCTAATCAAGCTTTCTTGTGATTGTATATTCATCTCGTGCATTGTCACCCACTTCTTCCCAGTATAGCTTCCTTGAAGATAGGGCATGTGGCACAATATTCAATCAATGTTGCATGAAAAATATATGAATGAGCCCATCTCCAAAATATTCATAATGATTTGAGTTTTCACAAAGATATCTTCATTGAAATTTTTGTTTCTTTGAAAAACATTGGCTTTTATAAAAATCAAGATATCAAAGTACCTTCCAACACCATTAAAAGGTACACCCTCAATGCCTCTTATCACTCTTTGTCCTCTTAAAAATAATAGCAGTGTACGACAACTTCACACCCAATTTTCTAATTTTCTGTGGATACACTAGGGGAGAGCAATGTAACACTGGAAAAGTATTTGAATATTTTAACACTATCAGTCTAAAGTTTAATGAGGTCTGCTCCTGGACCAATAATTATGATATGAAGTAATATCATATTTGTCATGTATCACATAATTTAAATGATTTATCATGAGCCTCTCATTACATTGGTTCATCTATGAGAATGATTTCTAAGGTCTTACATAACCATCCGTGTTGTTTAATCAACGAACTTTTGGCAGGCATAGACTTTGCGCCGGGGCTTGTGCTAAGGCAATTAGGACACCAAAGAGGCCACATGGTCTCTGTCAGTGAGGACCCCACTGTGTGTAGCTCATTGCTTAGCAATAGTGCAAGCATGTAAACATCTAGCCTCCACCTACCACAGGATAATTCCTTCTGAGTCACACAAACCATAAGAGGAGGACATCAGTGCTAAACTAGAGGGAATAGTTGTCCTCTTGTGAATGGCACATTAACATTTTGGATTTTGAAACCGGAAGATTTTGATGTTTCTGGAAAATAATCATACTGACATCATTTGTGCTACATTGTTGCTAGTGTTCTAGAACTTCCATCTGTTAAGACAGATGATGCAGGGAACATCTCTTTATGCTGTATACATAAATAGATGAACTATAGTAAAATATTTCATTTTGTATTAGAACTTGGTCTGTATTTATATCCCAGAACATGTCATAAGAATTAACATCTCAGAGGAAACAATCTCAATGTTTATGATCATGGTAACCTTGAACAAGTTACTCACTTCTCTGTTCCTCAGTTTCCCCTCATGTAAAATAAGAAACTTGAACTACATGATCCTTAAGATGCCTTCCAACTCTAGTGACTCATAAATGTGAAGCTCATTCAGCCTCATGAAATGGGTGGGAAGGGATTTTAAATTCAATTTATAGCTTCCTGGTTTACTAGCTTTTTGAAGTAATCTCTCTCTACCTGTCTCTTTCTGCTTTTTTCCACTCCAGTCTTTTTTAAACTATACAACATTGTCCCAAAGTATTTTGCTTTTAACAGCAAGGTGGGGATGATAAAACTGTCCTATTGACAGCAAAGATCATGAGGTGAAAAAAACCTTCAGTTTGAATTGGATATTATCATGTCACTTACTGATCATATGACCAGGGACAGGCAATCTGTCCAAATTCAGTTTTCTTATCTGTAAGATGGGGATAATAATGATATATATATGTGGCTGAGAGCATTGAATAAAATAATACATCAAAGATCACAGTTTGGCACATAGTAAGCATTCAATAGACATTACCTTTTAGTATTATCCTAATATTTAAAAGTGCCCCACTAAAAAAGTAATAGAGCACAGATGATAAGGAAATTAGAACCTGAGACAGGAGTATAATATTTGAAAATGATTGGGGCAATGAGTGCTATTTGCCCACTAGCTTGTCCTAAACATGTTTGTCTTCTCCTCAAACATATTTTTTATTGTCACAACCCAGCCGAAGTGGGCTCATAAGGCAGAAGAGTTGGTACAACTTGGCAAAGTGATTGCCTCACTCTCACTAGGGGCTTCAAGATTATTGGGAAGCAATTTGAATATCTCAATCAGAGGCTTACTGAATTATTAATGTTTATTAAAATGATGTAAATCTCATTCATCTAGACCCAAACACATGAACAAAAGCACAGAACAGTGAGAGATGGGAAGCATTACCTCCAAAGCTGTGTGCGGGCTCTGGCTGCACAGGTTGCGGGTGACAGTCAAGGAGGCCTGGGCAGCACTTGAGGTTTTGCAGAATGACAGGCCTTGTGCAGAGGTTGAGTCTCAGCAGAAAGCTGTCCAACTTCTGTATTTTCTGAGGCTACCAAGCTGAACTCATCTGAGTTACATAAAATGAGCACCCACGTATTCACTCATGATATGAGCACTGGCCCCCCTCACGGAGTCAGCAGAATTTATATTCCAACTCACCAGCTTGGCATGAAGCTAGGATCTACAGGGAGACTATTGCTCAATGCATCCTTTGATCTTGCTCACCTACATTCATGTCAACACTAGCAAGAATTCATAATTTGCCCCTGTAAGATCCGATCTCAACTAAATCCATTTCTTGTTTCTTTCTGAGCTGCAGACTTGCATCTAATCATACCGTCTGATCTGCCAAGAATGCCTGGCTCTTGCGTAGGGAAACTGGAGCATAGATGGGCCTGTGTATTTTTTCCAGATTTCCCTCAAAGAAGAGTGAATCTTGGTTAAATTATTTTATTCTTTGAAGTGTGAATTTCTCAAAGTAAACAGGTAAAATGTCAGGCCTCTTGGGCTATTTCAAGGATTAATCCTAATTATCCTTTTTGGTGGTGTCCAACAGGCAAAATGATGGGCCAGGGATTTGGTTCAGTGGTTCCGCTGCCTGCCTTGTAAGCAAAAAGGCCCAAGTTCGATCCCCAGTACCTCACAGGCACGCGCGCGTGCACACACACACACATATACACAATTTACAACAGGCAGAATGGAACAGTGATTCGGTGCACAAAGTCTGAAGCCAAATGGTCTGCCTTAAATCTCTGTGGGCTCCTAACCAAGTGCCTGAGCAAATTACTGAAATCTGTATGACCTTCAGTTTCTCATCTATACAGTGAGGGTGATGATGATTGCAAGTTGGCACCAATTTGTCCTTAATGAATACTAGTTTTTCCTTAAGGAAAAAGTAAATAAAATCAGGCAAATATCTAGAATCCTGGGTGAATCACACCAGCTACTTCCTAGTGAGAGCAGCATTTGATACTATTACAAACTTTCTTCTACCTGGAAAATTATTAATATATATATAATATTAATATACAATAATATATAACTGGGACGTCAAGGTTACCTTGCTGCATAGTGCTCTGTGATAGTTTATTTGTGGCTGGGGGTCATTGAGAAGTCACCTATTTTTTGTGGCCTATCTTTTGTTCATTAGAGTCTCAGGATATAAGAAAAGCATGCTGGGAGATTTAGATCATAAAAGCCTCACAGTACACCACAATAGTATCCATTAGTGCTACACACAGAACATCTGGACTCTGATAGGGAAAAATACCATTGGAAATAATGCTGCAAGTCGTAATATGCAGTTACAGTGAACATTCTTTTGTCAGTCTCGTTTGTTTTTCACCATTAAAAGCTCAGAAATCAGCAAGCAGGTGGAAAACTAGTTTTTTAAAAAATTGACTCTTCAGGAAAGATAAGGCACTTTAAGGAAGAGTTAAGTTAGGGTAATTTACTAGAGATAAAAGAGGCTGATGAACAACTTGATTACTACCTTCATGTATGCACAGTTATTAAAAGAAGGCAAAGCATCCTTGTTCTATATTCTAGAATAACTTTTTGTCCCTAGCTCTCTCTAGATAAAAGGTTGGAATTGAAGATAAGGGAGCCTGAGCCAGGGTCTCAGACCTGAGGATGAGAGAGTAGGACAAAATTTAAAGAGTCGTCAAAAACTCAGTAATTTACTGAAAGTAAACAATACCATGTTAAAATATTTCAGAAACTCAATGCAAAATATTCCTAATGAACAAAATATCAAAATTTTAAAGAAACCAGGGTAAGCATTTCTGCTTTATCCCTGTGGCCACAGGTTGGGTTTGGCTGAGCACGGCACTGCCCAGGCTGGTGTGATTTTTCCTAGGGAAGAGCTCAGTTGGCTTCTGTCAGTTACTTCATGATATGTAACACTGTACCTACCTGTACCACAGCTCCATAGACCTTACTGTTTCCGAGCATTTCCATGTCTTCTTATTTACTTCTCAGAACTGTTTGGGAGACTCAGTATCACAAAGGTACCACTGACAAACAAGGGGGTTGTGAGGAAATAATGCTTTTCTAGTCAAGGAGCAATATGACGTCAATGGGAAAAACTTGGACTAGAGCTTCCAATTCCAGGTTCATTCCAAAGTCATCTGGAGCCGACTGCTCAGCCTCTGAGGAGCCAGATGATGCAAAATATCCATGGAGCTTCTGCAAGGCTGCAAGTGGATTCTTAATGGAGGACAAGTGCATGCCTGAGTGTGATGAGGCACAGAGGGGAGGTGCTGAGGTTGGGGTGCAGTAAATCTCAAGAGCAGCACCACTCTGGGTGGAGCTGTTCAGTTCTTACCACATAGCATTATATCCAGTGCTGAAGAATGTTTAACTTCCGTTTTTACGGGTCTTATTACAACCAGAAAAAGCTCTGTATTTCCAATTCCTTCACAGAGCTGGAATCCATTTTGAGAGCCCCTAGTAAGGGCTGCCTAGAAATATCCTACAATCGGCATCAGTAATTACCATTCATTAAGTGCATTTGTGCCCAATGCTCCATATACAGTCATCTCTTGGTGTCTGTTGGGGTTCCACTCCACGGCTGTTTCTGAAAATCTGCAGATCCTCAATTCTCTTATATGAATGATATCATATTTACATATACCCTACTATCTACTTTAACTTCTACTGTAATTTTTCTTCAGGTTATTAATAGTATGTAATGCAATATAAATGTTAAATAGTTATTTTATTCTATTGTTTAGGGGATAATAAAAGAAAAAAAATGTCTGTTTATGTTGAGTACAGATGCAACTTTTTCAGAATATTTTCCGTGATTGTTTTTTTTTAAATTAATTTTTTGGTACATTTTAGGTATACAATATAATGACATTCATCATTTGAAATTTGCACCTTTACATAACTATCTTGGTTATTATTTTTTCCCCATTCCTCTGTCATCCCTTCAACCCTTCCATCCCTCCCTATTTACAGACTTTGTTTCCATTTTTCCATTTTTCTCATATTAATTCCATTCCCATCTCTCTTTTCCCCTACTCCTCCTACTTCCTTTTCCCCTTTGCCTCTTTTCTTCCCATTTCACATTAACTATTATACCATTTAGTGATTATTTCTACTTTCAGTTTTTAACAGTAGAGAAACTATTTGGTATTTACATGTGTGTCCTATTTATTTCATTTAAGGGTATGGCTTCAATGTACATCCATTTAACTATAAATGTCTCTAATTTCTCATTTTTTATGGCTGAGCAGTACTCCATTTTATCCAGTCTCATACTGATGGGCAATTGTATTGCTTTCAAGTTTTAGCTATTACAAATTGTTCTACTATGAACATGGGTATGCATATATCACTGTGGTATGATTCTTTTAATTCTTTGTGGAAGATACCCAGCATGGAAACAGCTGGGTCAAATGCGACTTCCATTCCTAGTTCTTTGAGGTATCTCCATACTGATTTCCACAGTGGTTGCACCAGTCTTCATTTCTACGAGCAGTGGAGCAGTGTTTCTCTTTCCCACAACCCCACCAGCATTTGTTATTGGTTGATTTCATGATAGCAGCCATTCTTCCTGGGGTGAGGTTGAATCTCAGCTTGTTTTCATTTGTATCTCTCAAATGACCAGTGATGTTGAATATTTTTTATATACTTATTTATTATTTCTACTCCTTTGTATGAGAAATGGCCGTTCATTTCAGAAGCCCATTTTTGCAATGGGTTTTTGCATTTGGAAGGTCTCATTTTTAAAAGTTCTTTATATATTCTAGATAGTAGACCTTTGTCTGAGGAACAGCTAGTGAAAACTTTTTGCCACATTGTGGGTTGTCTTTTCACACTGTTGGTGTTTTCTCTTGCTGTGCAGAAGCTTTTTAATAAGAGGACCACAAACTTGTTGATTGTACTAGTTCATGGGCAACTGAGGTTTTGTTCATAAAATCTTTTCCTACACCAGTGTCTTCAAGAGTTCTACCTTACCCCTCTTCCAGACAGTTTAGTGCTTCTGTTTTAATATTTAGATTTTTAATCTATTTTGATTTTATTTTAGTGAATGGTGAAAGATAAGAATCTAGTTTTAATCTCTGGCAAGTGGAGACCCAGTTTTTCCAGCACCATTTTTATTTATTTTATTTTATTTGTTTGTTTGTTTTTTTGGTACCGGGGATTGAACTCGGGTCCTTGCGCTTGCAAGGCAGGCCACTGAACCGCTGAGCTAAATCCCCGGCCCTAAAAAGGCCCATCTGGACTTTTTTTCTGTACCGGGGCTTGAACTCAGGACCTTGTGCTTACAAGGCAGGCAGCGGAACCACTAAGCTAAATCCCTGGTTCCAGCACCATTTTTAAAAGAGGCTATCTTTCCTCCAGTGAGGGTGTTTGGCTACTTTGTCAAAGATGTGATGGCTGTGTGTGTCTGGACTTTTTTCTAGATTTTCTAATGTTCCACTGGTCCTCAAAATATATTTCTTTGCCAGTACCATGCTGTTTTTATTACAGAAGCTTTATAGTACAGTTTCAAATTGGGGATTTTTGATCCCCCCTTGTCTTTATTGCCTAGAATTGCTTTTGCTATTCTAGTTCTCTTCTAGTTCTAAATGAATTTTTGGATTGTTTTCTCAAGGTCTTTGAAATATGCTGCTGGAAATTCAATTGGGATTGCATTAAATCTATACAGCAGTTTTGGAAGTATGGCCATTTTCACTATCTTGATTCTTTCTACCCAGGAGAAAGGAATGTTTTTCCATTTTCTGAGATCTTCTTCAATCTCTTTTTTTGGGGCTTTGCAGTTTTCAGAGTAGAAGTCTAATTTCTTCCTTAATTTCCTCTGTGACACATTGGTTATTCAAAAATGTGTTGTTCAATTTCCAGGTGTTTATGAAATTCTTGTGTTTTTTTTTGCTATTGATCTCCAATTTCATTGCACTATCCTCTGATAATATACAGGTAATAACTTCAATATTTCAATTCCTTTGCACTTACTTAAGCATGTTCTATGAGCAAGTATGTGATCTATTTTGGAGAATGACCCACGTGTAGCTGAAAAGAGTATGTATGGATTTTGTGAAGTGGAACATTGTAAAACATCTATTAAGTCTATTTGTTCAAGAGTTTGATTGATTTCTAGTATTCATTGTTTTATGTCTAGTTCATCTATCTTTTTGTGACAGTGGGGTATTGAGGTCCCCCATTACTATTGTATTAGTGCTTATTTGATTTTTCATGTCCATTAGTATTTGTTTTATATAGTTGGTGCACTAGTGGTTGGTGCATATATATTTATGATTGTCATCAATTTCTTTTGGATTATTCCCTTTAAAGGATGGAGTGTCCTACTTTGTCTCTCTTAATCAGTGTTGGTTTGAAATCCACTTGATATGCAAAAAGCATAGCTACGTCTGCTTTTTTTTTCAGGTTCCTGTCACATGGAGTATTGCTTTCCACCCTTTAACTTTCTGTCTATTAGGTTTTTTAAATTAGATGTGTTCCTTTTATGCATCATATTGTTGGATATTGCTTCTTGACCCATTTTGCAAGGCTATTTCTTTTGATTGGTGAATTGAGACAGTTAACATTGATGGTTATAACTGATATGTATTGAATTATCCTTGTAATGAGTTTTTCTTTTTGTTGGATTGCATTTAATTTCTTTTTGGGCCTGATTGCTTCATTCTGCTGGGCTTCCTGGGGTTGCAATCTTCTTGGTATTTTCCCAGGATATTGTTTAAAATTTTTTTGAGTGCTGGTTTGGTATTCAGGATGTTCCTCAGGTGCTCTTTGTCATGAAAGTATCTTATTTCTCCATCAGTATTGAAAGATAGTTTTGTAGGGTACATCAATTTGGTTTGGAAACTGTTTTCCTTTAGGGCTTGAAATCCATCACTCCAAGCTTTTTTTTCCTTGAAGGTTTGTGTTGGGAAGTCTGCTGTGATTCTGATGGGCTTTCCTTTGCATATGATTTATTTCTTTTCTCTGACTGCTTATAGAATTTTGTTCTCCTGTTGGATTTCTGGAATCTTAACTATTATATGCCTAGGTGTAGATTTTTTTTGTTTGTTTGTTTTTGTTTTGTACTGGGGATTGAACTTGGGCCTTTGCACTTGTGAGGCAGGTGGTGGAAACACTAAGCTAAATCCCCGGCATGGAGATTTTTAAAATCAGGGCTAGTGGGAGTCCTATATGCCTCACTTATCTGAACATCAAGTTCTTTTCTTTACTTGGGAAGTTTTCTGCCATTACTTCTGTGAACTATCTTTTATGTCATCTGTATTCTCTCCTGTTTCTTCAAAGACTCCAATCAGTCTTATGTTATTCTTTGCATCTTCTAGTAGCTGCTGGATTGATTTCTTGTGATCTTTTACTATTTTTAAGAAACTTTTCTTTTCCTGGTCACTAATTGCAATCTTATCTTCTATAGCTGAAGTTCTGTCCTTGCATTGGAACACTCTGCTTCATAAATTTTCAATGGACTTTTTTAGTCTCCTAGAATTATGTTTATATCTGTTTTCCATCATGTTCCTTAGCACCTCTATTTTTTATCTGTATCCAGTCTAGTTTTATTAATCATGTCTTACACTATGGGCACAATCTTTGCTGTTATTTGAGAAATTATTTCTGATTTCATTTTTTCCATATGCTCTTTTGTTGCTAGTTCAGGGAGTCCAGCAGTGGTTGAGTTCCATCTCTTTTCCCTTTGGGGTTGCCTTAGTGATCTGGAAGTCTGGTTTGGGGATATGTTTCTGTGTCTTCTCATTTCAACAGATGCAGCCTGCTGTTCCTTTGTTGAGGTGACTTTTTGCTTAACCAGTGGTCTTGAAATCCCAACAAGCCACCGAGCAGCCTTACTCTGCTGCTCACCAGTTCACTAATTCCTGGGTTCAGAATGGGAGCCTTCTGGATCCCTGAACTGACCTGTTGTCTGGGTGGGTTTCTAGCTGGGGCTTGTACACGCGTCGCATGGTATCTAGGAGTGCCTCTGACTG